CTTTGCTTTCCTCGCACCCGGCGGCGTCGCAGCAAAAAATTGGGCCGCGATGTCTTCTTGTGTGTACAGTTTTTGGATCCATCCATCTCAAAGATCTCGCTGCTGAACTTGATGTTTTGCTGCTCTTGCATGTGCAGGAAGGCCAAGGCGAACCGCATTTCATGCACCCATCGATCCAAGAGGTCCGGGCTCAATGAGTTGGCGGAGTCAGGAACAGAATGAAGCATGGTGTCTTGGGGCATCTTAACGCCAACAGCAAAAGCCGTCCGCAGCCATAGTGCATACTGTGGCTGGTAGGACTTCCGAGCGCTTCTCCAAAACGGTGTGTATGCCAAAGTTGACTGGGCCAGTTGCAAAGGATGTCGACCTGGCGTCCGACATGATCTGCACTGCAGCACATCAACAGCCGATGCTCCCGTGCTGGAAGACGAAGCAGTGCAAGCCACCAGGCGACCTCCGCACTCCCAACACAGACTCGTTCTTTCAGAACGCGACCCTGGCAAGACGCCAGAAGCTTTCAAATACTTCTCTGCCCTTGCATCAGTCCAGGTCACCACATCTGCAAAAGTGTACTGTTGCTTGAAAGTGCGCAGGGTTTGGCTGACTTTCAAGGCAGAAGAGGCAGTGCTGCTGTGCAACCCAAGCTTGACATGGTGGGTGTTGCTCACGGAAGCACGGATTTTGCGCGATGCCTTCTTCTTCGGAGCTTGAAACTTTTCTGGCCTGATTTTGGAACCACCCATGCGGACAGAGGCATCTTGAGCCTTCTGACCGGCCATGCAAAAACACAAAGGTGGGCAGCGTCACTCCCTCCAAGCTTCAAAAAAAAAACAGCCCCAGGGAAAATCAGCTCTGAGGGCCCTTAAACCAGGGGGGGGTGTTTCCAAACAAGGAACTCAATGTGTAGGAGGCGATCAGAGATGCAAAGCTGGGCAGCGTCACTCCCTCCAAGCTTCAAAAAAAAACAGCCCCAGGGAAAATCAGCTCTGAGGGCCCTTAAACCAGGGGGGTGTTTCCAAACAAGGAACTCAATGTGTAAGAGGATCAGGCAAGACAATCTGGCATGCAAGTGCTCTGGCTCACTTTCCCCCGCGCGAGAAGAAATCTCAGCATCGCCCCCGCTGAAAGCATGCCCACAAAGACCTGTGCACCTCTTTCAAGTACTCAGGAAACAAACGCAACTGAGCCGATGTAGCAGGCACAGAGTTCCAACACAATCTCTCCCCTGCCACACCTCGTTTCCAGAAACGAGAACAAAGAAGCACAGCCTGTCCAGAGCGGCGTCCGCTCTCGAAAACATGCGGGGCTTGAGCATACCCGCACTTTGCGCATCTGCCCCATTTCGTGGCCTTCACACTCGGGGCTCGATTCTCGAGCGCCCTCCAAGAAAAAGAGCCAGCATCATGTGTCTGCTGCACGGGCTGCGCTGCGTTGTCTTGGATCTCAGCTGACGCACTGAAGTCCGGCACACGCGGCTCACCTTCATCAGGCACGTGTTCGTGGCTCGCAAACTCCATGGCCTACAAGGCAATTGCGGAAAAGCAAAGACAGTGACCCCAAAGAACAACGTGCCCTTGCAGCCCTGAACCACACAAATCTGCCTGGCTGTCATCTACAGCGTCCTGCTCCGAAACCGACGAAGCCACGCTGACCGGAGACATCGGCGGTCCTTGATAAGCAACTAGCGCGGCTGTTTGCCTCCAGCGCCAACCTTAAGTCACATGGGTCCAAATTACCAACATATAGATCGAACATTCAGAAAAGAACGAAAACACTTTACCAAAAAACCCACATCTAGACAAAGCACTCTTGAAACGCCGTGTCCAAGGAGAATCCAAAGTCTTCGGCGGCGATGTGTCTCCCCGCTCAGCATGCCCCAAAAATGCATCGACAGTTCCAGGGGACTCCGGAGACAAGGGAGGCGCTGCCATTGCCAAACCGACCCCAGCATTCTAAGCTTGGCAAAATGCAAACGCCTGCCGCATGCCGGCGTCCTCGCTCGCGCACAGGTGAAGCTCAATGAGCCCAAAATAGCCGCCAGCCCCATAACGAAGAGGTCTGATGCGCGTGCGACGGGAACCTTTAAAAAGGGGGGACTATATACACCCAAAAAATATTTAGAACGCGGGAAACCACCAAGCTTGTCGGACCTCAGACATGCGCAGCCGTCTTCAAAGCGAGAGATCTTCATCATCCCCCAAAAACGGGAACCTTTAAAAAGGGGGAACTATATACACCCAAAAAATATTTAGAACGCGGGAAACCACCAAGCTTGTCGGACCTCAGACATGCGCAGCCGTCTTCAAAGCGAGAGATCGTCATCGTCCCCCAAAAACGGGAACCTTTAAAAAGGGGAACTATATACACCCAAAAAAATATTTAGAACGCGGGAAACCACCAAGCTTGTCGGACCTCAGACATGCGCAGCCGTCTTCAAAGCGAGAGATCGTCATCGTCCCCCAAAAGCGGGAACCTTTAAAGAGGGGAACTATATACACCCAAAAAATATTTAGAACGCGGGAAACCACCAAGCTTGTGCGCACTCCGAGAAATGGACACGTTCTTGCTTTTTTGACAAAAACTCGCGCGGGTCGTTCAAATCATGCGGCTTCGGGCTCCGGCTGTCCTTGGCAGCTCTCGTACTCTAAAAGGCTGAAAGCAATCTCACGCAGCACGTCTAGCAGACTCTCAGACAGCCGCTCCCACATCGTGCAGCAGCGAAAGAGGTAAGGCCTCGCGAGCAAAGCCAGGCCACCACTTGGAAAACTAGGTGTAAAACCCAAACTGTGGAAACTGACGCTAAAAGACTGATGACCAACGCTCTCTGCAACTGAAGCACATGGCACGCAGCGTGCGAGACGCTTCATTGATGTTTCTGCGCAAGTGTGTGGCTGCCTGCGCATGCGAGGCTCGACACTGCGCTCTCTGGCAAGTCCGCAAAGACAAGCTCCAGGTGCTCGAAAAACGGAGAGGCCGCTTGCAAACTCGTCAAGCAGTGGGCCAGAATCCCCAGAGGCACCAGGTAGTCCGACTCCGAAGGGGCCAGCAAAGTAAAGAGCTCCACGGCCACTAGGCGCAAAGGTTCCAGCGAGCTGGCCAAAATGCGCTGTCGATGCGCCAGGTCTGTGTAAGTGACTCGAAAAGCCATCCCAAGCGCAGTCAAGTGGGCGAGCAGTATATCCACATCGAGCTCGAATGCCATGATACTATCAAGTGCCTAGAACTAAGGAAGTTGAATGAGCCCTCTGCACAGCCAGCAGCAATGGCTCGCGTTCACTCCGCTTGAGTGGACTGGAGGTTAAGTTCTTCAACAAGCCCTGAATTCAAGAAATGGTCTCCCACAAAAAAGGATTGAGTGCAAAACCTCGACCCCGCTCAAACGCCAGTGGCAACAGAGGTGCAGTCACTCGGATGTTCAGACTGCTGAGTCAGAGTTGAAGAGTCCAGGGTTGTTTTCTATCCTCCCACTACTTAAAACACGCCCCAAAAGCATTGCCAGGGAGCCAGGGGCTTGTGTGCGCGTGAGCGGGTGTTCTTATCATTTGGCAGGCATGGATACAGTGCTGAGCGTGCGCGTGAGCGGGTGTTCTTATCATTTGGCAGGCATGGATACAGTGCTGAGCGTGCGCGTGAGCGGGTGTTCTTATCATTTGGCAGGCATGGATACAGTGCTGAGCGTGCGCGTGAGCGGGTGTTCTTATCATTTGGCAGGCATGGTACAGTGCTGAGCGTGCGCGTGAGCGGGTGTTCTTATCATTTGGCAGGCATGGATACAGTGCTGAGCGTGCACGTGAGCGGGTGTTCTTATCATTTGGCAGGCATGGGTACAGTGCTGAGCATGCGCGTGAGCGGGTGTGCTTATCATTTGGCCCTGGTGACATGATGCCATGTTCGCCACGATCCAACTGCTGCCACGTCCCCTGGGAACCGCATTGTGTATCCCCTTTTCGAAGTCTCTCAAACAAACAGCCAGGGCTCCCTTTTATGTCGTAGGGGGTCCCATTAAAACATACAAGCCAGGGCTCCTTTTTATGTCGTAGGGGGTCCCATGAAAACAGACAAGAGGAATATAAAGCTTTACCCCCAAAAGAGAGACTTCCGGTTGCAGGGGGCGTGGCACTTCCCCCCCACCCCACCCCACCCCACCCCACGAAAACGCGGCAGGCGCGGTAAAAACTACACGTCAAGCTCAAATTCCACTGGGGAGAAGAAGCGCGTGGGCGCGCGTGAACAGCCCAACGGAGCCAAAAACAAAAAGCAGGTCCGACAGCAGTTGCGGTTACTCAGGCTTACTCACACGGTGACTTTGCTTCTGGGCAACGGGAGCTTGACATGACTGACAAATGTTTGCGTATTTTGTTCTATGCAAGCACCACATGCCTGTTGATTCATGGATGTCCCAAATCACAGAAACAGGCCGCCCATGTCATGTTTTCTTGCCAGGTCTGGCTGAGGAACCGTAGCGTCTCACCCATGTGTTGATTGTTGTGCTCCATCACGCAGGAAGAAAAATGCCGAGTTGTGACTCATTTAGAAGGCCCACGGAGTCAGAGTTTGTCGGCTTTCTTCCTGAAGGTGGCATGTGGAGCGACAGGAGCGCAACAAATGGCGCGTGCTGATGCGATTTGTAGGGATGGCATTGGTTGGTTATTGCCGGGCATACGAAAAAAGGAGGCACCACCCAATGCAAGCTACGGCGCAAGACAGTGCTCGGCATGGTCATGAGTCATGAGTATTTGGTGCTACAAGGGCTTGTTTGCAAGATGCGTAGGGACCCATCGGCAGCTGAAACCTTGTGACACAATTTGCGGGGGCCGCAGCTGGGATAAAGCGACCTCACCCAGAAACATGGATCTTCTCTCGGGGATTCCTTCTTCAAGTCTATCAGGGGAGGAATGGGGAGGATATTCACAAATGTATTTGGGGCGGACTCTGTGTGACAGATTGTGACGGATCAGGTTCAAGAGGGTGGCGGCAGGCATGTGCAAATCGTGCTTCAGGACCTCTCCCTTGGCGTGGCCGTCGGCTCTTCTACACAGCCCGGAGCTGAGAGATATGCGTTTTAAAGAAAGTTTGGATCTAAGGGTGGCTTTTTGAAAGGCTGCGACCGGGACGTCATGCCCAGAATGGCCCCAAAAAAAGGCATGCGGTATGCATTATGCCCGCAAGAGCCCTTCGCCAAGCTCGCTCAATTTGTTTTCCATGATGCATGGATGAAAGGTGTGGCACGATCCGGAAGCAAGAAGCAACTGCAGTTTCGATCAAGTCTCAGCAGGATGATCCAACACTAGATCGCTAGATCAGAGCTGATGGAATGCCGTTTTGGCTCCACATGCCCGGTGCGGGCAGCTAATGATCTCCGATTGCAATCCTCTCTAAGGATCGCCCTGCTGGTGGTCCCCTTCTCGGCGGGACACTTACCTGAAACAAGCAGCTCGCGTGACGCACATCCTGCTTACCCAACTTCCTGGCTTCCTGGTAGGGTGAAGCACTGGGGGCGCATGCGTGGCGCCAGGTCTTTGTGGGCTGGGCATACGACGCCCCAAGCTCAGCCATGCCAAGAGAAGGCTATTGCTACAAGGATTGAAGTTTCCCCAGAAAACTCGGACAGGCCAGAGAGAGAGAGAGAGAGAGAGAAAGTGGCTTCAACGTTCCATGAGAACAGACAGTTTCGTGGCAGATAGCCTCAGATCCAGTTTCACCTTTGGAGAGCTCAAGGTGCCCATGTCCCTGGACTTCCGAAGGTTTGACACCTCCGTGCTGCTGCTGTCCGTGCCCAACGGGTTAGGGTGAGCGGCGGATTTCTTCAAGATCGTTAGTGGAGATGCAGGAAAAGGATTCTTCCCCCCTATCCTTCCCAGTCCTTGCTCAATTGGTTTACGTACTCTTTGGTCTTGGCTCTGTGTTTCGCCGGATGGATGTGCGTCAGTTAATGCGGACACGGGGGCAGGTGGAACTTGTCGCATTTCATCCCGGCACATTCTACAAACTGGGTTTTGCTTGGCACAGCCAAATGGAAAGATGTCCTGCTCGCCTCTGCCGTGTTCTTCTTTGGGGTGGCTTCAGGGAAGGAAACCAACAGGAGAAAGGTTTGTGGCTTAGAACGGGCTAAAGAGTTTGCGAGTTCCGCGTGCCAACCCCAAAGCTTCCAAGAACGGGTCCTGCCCTCAGTTTGAGCCATGGCCAAGACTTGGCCGTCGGTGCAAAAGGGAACCACTGCCATTGGGTCCAGCCTGTGCATGGCCTTCGGCTGTTAGGCGAGTCGTTCATGAGGCGGTAAGTCGGGGCACTTTGGCCTTGGCGGCTGCCAAGGTCGAGCCATGCTAATTACGCATTCTAAGTTGGCGCTAGTTGTTTGCACTGCCGCAACGCACATGGCCATGCAAACCTTGCAAAATGTAGCCGCCGCATCTCTTTGAGCTATGTTAAGCTGCTGCCCCAAAGTCAGTCCTCCGAAGTGAGCCGTGACAAAGCTGCGCTGCTGTGCCATTGGCGTGGATTGCTCTCGCACGTCCCGTGGCCCATGGATCGAAGGACACGTCGTGTTTGCCAAGTTTAGGTGCCTCACACCTGCCAACATTTCCGTGCCTGGCCGATTTCTCAAATTGTCGTTTTGGTTTCGCTTCTTTCACTATGCGTCAGGCTCCTCGCTTGAAGTTGCCCTTTGTTTAGTGCTGGCTTTGCGTTTGGCCACCGGCTGTGAGCCCAGCAGGTACTCATGGTGAGCCTTGTGCTCCGAGCGTGGACCTCACTCACTGGGACCTGGTGTGGCTTCCCCATTCGGGCCTGATGTTGCGGTTGTTTGTTTAGTAGGTTGGGGGTTGAGCTCGGGCCTCAGCGGGCAATTGTGGTGTCCACACCAACGGGCAGTCCTGGAAAACAAGTGGAAACTGCTCGTTCGTTTGTGCTTAACTGTTATTTTTTGGCACTGACGCACGTGGCGCCCAAAGGACGGCAGCTCAAACTGGCTCCAGGGGGCTATCCTGCTGCTGGGCTGCAAGTGGCAAAGAAGCTGCCGCCGCCGCTGTGGCGACAGATGTTTTCTTTGGCAAGTTTGGTGACTCTAGGCAAGCTGGATCAACCTGAAGCAAGTATGCACAAGCTTTGTAATACCTCCGCCACTGTGCAATACCTGTTTGGGCATGCGACCAGCTTGCACACGCAAGACACTTCGGACTTTCCCGACACCAAGGATGGCAATCTACCTTTTGGTTGCCATCCTGTGCTGGCAGGAGCCTTGGAGTGCCTCGATGTGCCTCCCGCCTATGAATCTTCTTGCCATCAAGAGGAGCAGCAGATAGTACCGGTGCATGCCATGCATTTTGCGGAGGAAAGTAGCTCGCATAGACGCAGAAATAACGCACGATATTGTGTTTGTTCGCGTTCCTTGCTCTCTACAATCCCCGCCCTGCGTAAGCCTTTGCATAGGTTTTAAGGTATGTTCAATACCTAGGGCCTTTTCCAGCGTTTGAAGTTAGTACAAGCTGCTGCTGTTCAAAGTGTACTCGTCTAAAACTTGAACTGAACATCTACTTAGGCGTTTGCGTAGGCACAGGCGTGCAAGTAGGGCATAGGCACCGAACCACCAAACAAACACGGCTCATATCTCCATGTTTGAACCGGTGTGTTTTTCATGCGGCCAAAGTGCAGCTGGGCATCAGATCCCAAAGAAAGAGCCAAGGTGTTGGTGTGATTTGCTGCCCGTGCTGCTTTTCATGCGGGGCGAGGTCGTAATGATTAGTCATTCGGCCGACCCCACAGCATCAGAGGGATGTGATTAACATGAATCATGTTCCTGGTTGTATGCTTTTGTGGGTTTTCATCAAAACGTAGTTTGTGTACAAGCAGGCCCTTGCGGATGCGTACTGCCCATTCCCAAGAGGTACATTCCACCGCGCGAAGAAGCGGGGTGAGAGCTTCTTGAGACCTGCTTCTGACGATGTGTAGAGGATGTGCGTTATCAAATAAGTAGCCACTCTTCACTCACGCAGCCTGCCGCTGGTTCGCCAAAAAGGTCAGCAGAGAAGTCGTGGTTTCCGAGGAGTGGTTATGTTGGCATTTTTGAAGGTACTTGCCAATATTTGTCATGAATCACCTACGTCGGTCCCTGAAGTCAGAGTCTTGCAGGTCTGATGAAAGATGCGCCTGCTTTTGGCAGTGCTGCAATGGTTCACTGCATTAAAGTGAGTGCCTTTGGTCATGTTTCGACTGGAGGCACTCGACTCCCTGCAAAGTCAGCGAAATTCAGCACATCCGGCTTCCTGAAAGGATGGCTCTTAGCTCAGCTGCTTACAAAAGAAGATTAACATGTCTCCCAGCATTTGCCAGCCAAAACTGACGCATCGCAGCTCCGTTCGACGCTGAG